GGGAAATACCGAAACCAAACCAACTTGGAAAAAATGAAGGAAATACCAACTCTTTACCGATTTCTTAGCCTTTTATACATTATTGAGGGTTCATGATACCAATAAAATACCAAACACATTACGATTGAAATACCAAATACCAAGTTGGTATCGGTTTGGTATCGGTATACCAAAATGTTGGTATCCGATTGACATCTCTAATTCTCACTCTGTGTACCCAGTCGTGTAACCAGACAGCAAACTACTATGGACGTCAAACCCCTTGAGACCCCACTTTTTTGCGATAATTTTTAAACGCGTCAACTCTCGTTGACAATATTCTGGCACTGTGTGTTTCAGAACCTGCCGAAACTTTTATTACAAAGGTATTTTGACGCCAAACGATTATGAAAGGTACTTCTCATTCACTCGTAATGCTAAGGCCAATTCAGGCCCGGGCAGAGGCTTGCGTTCGGCCATACTCGAGCCCCGCCACCAGCGCCATCTGCTCTTAATGTCATCTACCAGCGCCCGCTACCGCTACCAGCTACCGCCCACCATCAAGCCTGAATGGAGCGAGAGACGCGAGTGACCGGTCGCCGGGCAAGGAGCGCCGGAGGGGTAGGGCGGAGCTTAGCGCTGACGTCATTACGTGGCTCCGCCCCATGAGCGCGTAGCCTCTACCCAAACAGCAGATTAGTTCCGTGAAATTTAACATTACGAGTGAATGAGAAGTACCTTTCATAATCGTTTGCCGTCAAAATACCTTAGTAATAAAAGTTTCGGCAGGTTCTGAAACACACATTGCCAGAATATTGTCAACGAGAATTGACGCATTTAGAAATTATCGCAAAAAAGTGGGGTCTCAGGGGGTTTGACGTCCATAGTAGTGTACTGCTGAACGTACCATTCGCTCGAGTGAGCACTGTCAAGGAAGGACTGTTTGGTAGGCTGCCAAGACAACTGAACCGTTGTCATATATTAATATCGTTGGTGGGATCAGTTAATTCGGCGCTTTTGTGACGTTCAATAATTTGTACATTTCTGTGCCTTGTATAGTTAACTTTTGAACTGAAGAAGGAACGTTTCCGAAATATATTCATTCATTTTAGGCTAATTTTGGATTGTTAAAAGATAGTGAGCATACGGTTATTCTTCTACGTTATTCAATCATGCTGCTCATTCTACTGTTAACGCCAGACCTCTTGAGACCCTAATTTTTCGCGATTATTTTTAAATGCATGGAAGAATTTCAACCAAGCTCAGGACATGGCCGTTTCAAGACCTGCCGAAACTTTTATAATTAAGATATTTTGTCGCCATTTCAATATTTCAGGCACTTCTCATTGACTCGTAATGTTAAAGGTAGTGTGCCAGCTTTCTTGGACCGTATGGAGTTAATGGCCCAGATAAGGAGAACCGGATTTTTAGAACTTATCCATACCTTCAAAACTCATGGAAACGTCTTAAATTCTTCAAATTTTGAGTACCCCAGTGCGAAATTCGCCCCGACGGGTTGTCGGTCGTACCCCAACCACATTTCACACCACTATGAACAATAAATGCACACACTGAAATCGCTATTACCGATATGCTCATCCAATCAAGTTTCGATAAACCCGTTCATCATCATCTCCTGCGGTTTCGAACACGCCTGTTAGGTGGCTTCTGATGCTCGTCGAGGTCGGAATTTCCAAATACGCGTGGTGCGTCGGGCCGCGCGCTCTGACTTCGGCCAAGAAAAATGCGTCAGCTGATCATTGTCATTTCTGCCACTTGCGTGTGGTGAAATGGGGTCATAACTTATAAGACGGCTTTTTCATATCAATTATTTTACATAAAATCATATTTCAAACCATAAATAATGTTCGACAGCCAAATAAAAGAAACAATACAATACGGGCTTACAGTTTAAGGCTCGACATTGTGTTGTCTACGATTAGACAGCTGATAACTCATTCCCGTACGTCGTATGGTCGTAACACTATAATGACCTTTGCTTATTGTCACAAGTGCGCCGCATTCGCGATTGTTGCCCGACGCCTGTTTGCAGGTGAGCCCACTACAGTTGTTATACATATCTAAAAACCGAAAAACTTTTAGGCGAAAAAGGCACTATTCCAGTCCCATTTTTGATTTTTTTTTGCGATATTAGGTAAAAACAGAAGCTTCTTATCCTAGGAAAAATAAAATGGGAAATCTTTCAAAGGTGGCACACTACCTTTAAATTTCGAGCAAAATTTTCACCCGGCGTGTAGAGGCTATCACCAGTCAGTCTGTGATACGTTATGACGTCACAGCTAAGCCCCGCCTCTGTGGTCTTGGCCTGCGGCGGTTTCGGGCCGGCGCGCGGTCACTCGCGCTGTGGCGGGGAGCGGGGACGGTCGAGCGGTGCCGAAAGCCGGCGGAGTTGTGCGTAACGTCTTGTCTGACAGTGCCCAAAGAGCGACATGATGACGAGGAGCCATAAATGCTCAATGCGCATTGCTTGTACAATGCTGATATGTTCGCTGATATTTGTTTTATTTTTGATAAGCTGCAAATGACTGGCAGATGTCATATAACTGACATAAGGTTAGGAAATATTCACCTGTATTTAAAGCCTATGGCGTTGCAGATAATGCGATAATGGGATGTCGGATGTCATCAAGTAGCTCCTGATTTGAACATCGCTATGCACCCATCGACCAGCGCAATAATTAGTAATTGCCTTCGCTTCACATCATAAGGCTCGCTCGTATTTCACCAAACAGATATCCTACATCGAAAATCGTATTTGTTAGGAATCGTTAACGTTTTTTTTTTTCGAAGCATGTGTGAGTAGTAGATTGAGGAGTGATGGTCCTCTTGGTCCCATATACCTACAAGAATCAACAAGAGCCTAGCATTTACTTGACGGTCTGCTGCAATTGATTCATAGCACGTGAAACGTCAGCGAAATTCATAGTCCTTTACAGATGGCAGGGGTGTCGTTTGTACAGAGGTCGCTGATGGGCACAGGTCAATGCCGCAGTCGTGGGTGGAGCCTAATGTCATATGACGTATGAAAGCCTCTATCCAGGATGGAAAAACAGTGGGCGTCGTCCCCGGCTGTGTCACCAGGTGTGGGGTAGGCTCCCACTTCAGCCGTAGCCTGGGGGGTGTGGGAACAAGGGCCAGGAGGAGGAGGAGCCCTCCTGTAATTGGGCCACAAGTGCCTGTTGGAGGGAGGCCAAAAAAAAATATATACCTATATAGGGGAGAGTGGGGTAATTTGGCCGCTTTTTTTTAGAAAACGATGTAACTAAAAATCGACAACACATTTCTGCATTTTCTCAACGCTGACAGGTGTGGCATACATTTTACTTTCGTGGACAGTAAACTTGAAATGATAGGGTAACTACTTATATTGAAATTGTGACGTATTACAAAGGTCTGCAAAGCGGCCAAATTGCCCCACTAGCAGGGTTATTTGGCCGGGGGTGTGGGGCAATTTGGCCGGTGTTATTTTGAGGCCATGATTTTTGTTATCGGCGAGTCAGCTTCACATTCAGCAATGACGCGTGTCCTACGACGCATTTGAAGCATTTTGGAGGTTGACTCAGCCGTCACAGGGGTCGAAAATAGTCAAAATAGCGGCTCTAGATGCGATGACAGTTTTTTATGAATAGCTTTTGAAGCAATCAAGCTAGGCCAAAACTAAAAGTACCATCGTAATTCTCTCGTTATTCCGCATCGAAACATGTATGTGTTGACCTCGAGAGGTCAAGGTCAAAGGCTGGCTTCAGGTCACGTTACCTCAGGTCGCTTGACCTCAAGGTTACGTGAGTTCAAGGTCATCATGTATATCATTCGATGCGCCTTGACGAGCTGAACACAATGAGACCATTTGCGCGGTTGCATCTTTTTTCTGTAAGTATTTATTAGCAAAAAAGCGTTAGGTAACCGTTGATGACGTCACATGCCCTTACAGCTGTCCAATAGGAAATATGGCATCAAGGTATTTAAAGTTGGTCATGAATTATGTCCTTTTCCATTCCTCTCGACATCTGTGAATGAATAAACATCATCAAATTTCTCCTCAAGAAATCACGAGGCAGACAGTTGGGTGCTGATTGATTGGGAGTGTATTTTATATACAACCAATACCAATTGCGTTCTTTCACATATACACACAACCCTGCCGAATACATCCACTAACCGTTGCGTCCCATCACTTCTAGCGGGAAAAAAACGGTGCCACCACCACCGCACCCAGCTTTCACGTACATGATAACGAGGTGTAAAAAAAAAATCGAATGCCCGCCAGCGCCTGATTAGTGGGCCGGGGGGGTGGGTGTTCGCGGACGAAGATCGGGAGCGACTGCGGCCGGGCGCAGGGGTCCTGGACCGATCCAGCACCCGGCGGCCGGCGCCCCTGGTCGCTGATTGGCGGAGCCGAATGACCTGCGGCGGGTCAGACCACCGCCCGACGAGCCGCGCCGTTCCGATCACCAAGCAGCTGGTTGATTTCGATCGATGGAAAAATCGCCTAATAAGGTCTTATCAGGCATGCATTTATGGTATAATTGACCATGACAACTCAGCCGTCCGAGCATATAGTGACTGAGCGCACCGGCCAAGTTGCCCCGCTAGTCCCGGCCAAATAACCCCACATTGCCATTCTGAAAATTTTTGTCTATAAAGTCGTCATGGGTGTACAGAACTAGATGAAATTGCTCTTGGAACCGCTGAACACCCTCAAGAATGGCGCTATAATGTTGGAATTCGTTTACAGCCCAAATACTGCATGTCATACAAATTTTTAAACGGAAGTAAAAGTTACCATTTTCTAACGAAATTCACGTTTTATTAATTTTGAATAAAACTAAGAGGGGGAAAGTTTTGACATTTGTCCTCCAGTAAGTTCTGCCGATGACAAATGAATAGAGACTAAAGTTATTTCATTCACTTTTGTCAGCTTTCGTACAGGTGGGGGCGGCCAATTTACACCACCGGCCAAATTACCCCACTCTCCCCTATGTTACAGGGCATGGGCTTACCGGGCATGGGCTGCACAATGTAGCGGCTGAGGACACCCAGCAGGGCGGCGCCGGTGAGCCGCGCACGGGTGGCGGCCCGCTCGCGCTGCTGGCCGCCGGCGGCGGCTGCTGCCGGACCACCCAGGTACTGCAGCTGGCACAGCTCCCCGCTGGGCGCGGAGCTCGTGGCCGCGCCGGCAGCACGACCGCTCTGCAGTGGCAATACACACGTGGCCATCTCAATCATCGGCGGTCAGAGCTCAGCACAATGACATGAGGGGAAGACAGTGGGTATCTAAAATGGTCCTGTGCAGTTCCAATCATTATATATATATATATATATATATATATAAATATATATATATATATATATGTATATATATGTATATATATATATATATATATATATATATATATATATATATATATATATATATATATATATATATATATATATATATATATATATATATGTTACGGGCAAAGTGCGAAGTTGGGCAATTCGCGAATTGCCTAGGCCATTCGCGAACTGCCGGCAATTCGCGAATGGCCTAGGCAAAGTCCGGTTTTTCACTTGGCCTAGGCAATTCGCGAATGGACTGACTTTGTGCTCACAGGCAAAGTGCGTAATTGGGCATTTCGCGAATTGCCCAGGCAAAGTGAGTAACTATATCACAAAAGTTTTCTACCGTGCTAAAATGAGTATATTCATTAACATTAGGACATTTGCTTATGGCTAAGTCTATCTGAGGCGGCCAGAAACTTGCTGTTCTGTAATTTTAGGGAATTTTCAAATAAATCTGATAGTACTAAGGTTCTCCTTCCGAACTCGTTGCCATTTATAGTGGGAGGGGGCTGGTGTGTAGTACTTACCATCGTCCCTCTTGTATCCTAATTTAAATAGGTGTGCAGACGTGCGAAAATGATTGTCCTTTGTGGGGCGCGCGGGGTGGCAAATAAATGCGATCGAAGATACATTTTTATGACTCATTTGAATTTTATTGGATCAAAAGTTTAATCATATGAGGTATCTGTATAACGCGAAAGTGTTTAGGTTAAGAGAGGTTGTGTACGCAGTTATCAAGTTCCGTAGCACGTGGTCTTTAAACTATTCGATAATTTCCGTCAAAAACAAAACCATGCCAAATCACAAACAACAGTCTGACTTTCTTACTATTTATTATTGCAGTGAGCGCCTTTATGGCAGCGACTGATACAAGTAACGCCCGCCTTGATGCACTTGCATCGGCCTTTACATACACCCCTCCTGCACTTGCAGGAAAACATCCCCTGACCCTTCCCCCCTGAGACCAGGCGAGCACATTCTCTAAGTGTGATCGAGATGTCGGGGACGTCGGAGGAGGAGATGAAGTGCCCGGCACACGGTTGTACTGCTTCTGGGCCGTAGACGCCGGACAGCTTCCCCTTCGTCGTGCCAATTATATACTGTGACTCGCCGACACACTGCGAACACGGTCATCTATGTCAACGAGCGATACAAAGTTTTTACAGCATCAGCAATTAATTTACTGCAGATAATATTGATATGATTTATAATTATTGCGACCAGTGCCAGACACCTACAGTTTCGATCTGTGTTAAAAACGTTTTGTTGTTGACATCAAATCTAATTGAACCGACAATGTCCTTTCAGCGCCTTATACACTTGAAATCATGATGAAAAATAACTAAGCAACTATTTTTACAGATATTAAATCGTTTCAACATTGAGAACAATATTCATATTGATTGAAAATCATATTATATACTTAATTCACAGTAAAAAGTTATCGAAATAAAAAATTGAAAATATAGCAATAGAAAGCGTGGCGAGAAAGAGCAACCAATAGTACAAGCAGCTGCAAAAAGAAAATTACTCCAGACTCACCTCCAATATCACTCCGATAACATTTTTCTGTTGCGTCCTCGCCCTGTCCACGTCGGGAATGCCAATGCGTACATTTTGACCCACAGATAGAATCTTCTTCGCCTTCCTCGTCCGAGCCAGCATGAGATTCGCCTGTTTTTTCTGAGATGCCGAGGCGATCTCCCGCTCTTCAAGTGCCCTCTTAGCACGAGAACACAGATCGCAAAAGCCGTCAGATGCAGGTGCCGGCCCATAACAGTGAGTGCAGCGCCTGCTTCTTAGTGTTCGCTTAACAGGCTGTGCAGCTACCGGTGACTGCTGCATGCCCTTGTTGCTGCCGGCTACCGCCACTGTGGGACCGCTCCTCCCTGGAGTGCAGCTAGCTGGCTCCTCGTCGCTGCTGCTGCTGCCGGCTACCGCCACTGTGGGACCGCTCCTCCCTGGAGTGCAGCTAGCTGGCTCCTCGTCGCTGCTGCTGCTGCCGGCTACCGCCACTGTGGGACCGCTCCTCCCTGGAGTGCAGCTAGCTGGCTCCTCGTCGCTGCTGCTGCTGCCGGCTACCGCCACTGTGGGACCGCTCCTCCCTGGAGTGCAGCTAGCTGGCTCCTCGTCGCTGCTGCTGCTGCCGGCTACCGCCACTGTGGGACCGCTCCTCCCTGGAGTGCAGCTAGCTGGCTCCTCGTCGCTGCTGCTGCTGCCGGCTACCGCCACTGTGGGACCGCTCCTCCCTGGAGTGCAGCTAGCTGGCTCCTCGTCGCTGCTGCTGCTGCCGGCTACCGCCACTGTGGGACCGCTCCTCCCTGGAGTGCAGCTAGCTGGCTCCTCGTCGCTGCTGCTGCTGCCGGCTACCGCCACTGTGGGACCGCTCCTCCCTGGAGTGCAGCTAGCTGGCTCCTCGTCGCTGCTGCTGCTGCCGGCTACCGCCACTGTGGGACCGCTCCTCCCTGGAGTGCAGCTAGCTGGCTCCTCGTCGCTGCTGCTGCTGCCGGCTACCGCCACTGTGGGACCGCTCCTCCCTGGAGTGCAGCTAGCTGGCTCCTCGTCGCTGCTGCTGCTGCCGGCTACCGCCACTGTGGGACCGCTCCTCCCTGGAGTGCAGCTAGCTGGCTCCTCGTCGCTGCTGCTGCTGCCGGCTACCGCCACTGTGGGACCGCTCCTCCCTGGAGTGCAGCTAGCTGGCTCCTCGTCGCTGCTGCTGCTGCTGCTGCTGCTGCTGCTGCATACTACAGCACGACCGCTCCTTCTCCTCCCTGCATGGGCGCGGCCAGCCGGCTGCCAGTCGCTGCTGCTGCTGCTGCCCGATTGACTGTCCAGTCCTGCATCTGTGGCCGTCTGGCGACTTCCATCAGCCACCAGTCCCAGCATATCCGCCAGCTCCTGCTCAGTCCTCAACAGTCTGGCGGGCGCTCCTCTGAGCTGCGTGTCCCTCAGGCCCATGTGGGGCTCAACACCGAACATCGCTTTGTAGGGAGCAGTTCCAATCCCGTCGTTCTTCTGAAACAGTCAGAACATATTCAAGATATTAACAACAGAATGTTCACACAAAATTACGAGACTGTGCAGTTAAGCGTAACCAGCTAATACTTTACACTTCTCCCGCTTTGACTTAAATTACAGCTAATGATTGGAAATATTTTTTTTCTTCAAAACATATGTTTTAAACGAATGAGGAAAATTTCAAATATTTTTTGTAACTAATACAGATGAAGGCTATATACCTGCGTGTTTATCATCCACTGAACAAAGCGTAGTCCCTCGGGCCAATTACTTTCCGGGTTATCGGCAAGCCAGCACCGAAGCTTTTCCTGAACCAGCCGATTCGCCCTTTCGACAGATCCCTGGAAACATTAAATGTGTCAATTTACCACATGCCGAGATATCCCTTTAACATTAGCACGTGATTTTGGGAAAAGCTTCCGGACCGCTCACGGCTAATGTTTAAGGTATTTGGGAAAAGGTTCTTGACCACGGTCATTTTGATTTTCCCAGACAATTTTTAAGAGAATATTCAAGATGAAAGTAGCAATTAACGGCATGTAGTAACTATCTTCCCACCCTTTGGGATGGGAAAATGCTTAATTTATTCACCTCGAATTTTTTGCTACAGACCTCGTGCCTGCCGGCACTCGGTACTTCCGCAAAAAAACCTTGGTAAATAAAATGCATTTTCCCAGCCCCGGGCGGAATAAATATTACTATATCCGTACATGAGAAAGTCAAGCATGCACATGGCGGCGAATATTACATGGTACAGTTTGCATTGACCTCTTTTAACTCTCGATTTATTTATTCATGTTCTTTCCACTTCTATTTATTTGCGCAGGCATTGATATTGAATAGTCACTTTTTGAGCAATCAAATAAGGGCGCTTGATAGCCTATTTGCGCTTTAGCGTCCGTCCATAAACCCCAGCACAAACATGCACACGATCAATTCAATATGAATATCTATTTTAAAGACTTCAAAAATCCATGCAGGAACAACAAGCTAATTCTATACCAAATCTAAATTCGTATATTGGTGAATAGCCAATCTGGCTTATACCTATCAATCGCTCACCTGGGACTGCGAATGGCGAGGTCGTCCACGAACGAGCTGGAGCGATGGCCACATGGCTGTGCACTGCTTTATTACTTTGTTGCGAAACTCGCGTCCGTTGTCGCTCTGAAACACATTTAGGTTTTCTGTTTTAACGAATTTTTAACGCAATCTTAGCCTTTATCTGAACTACTTTCATGTTTTTATTGCGATGTTTCACACAGTGGTTGTGCAGTTACCTTCATGAATCACGAGCGAATCATTGTAAAAGTGACTTAGAACAGTTCAAATTACCCTAATCTTGACCTTAGGTGAAAAGGTCATCAAAGGTAATCCTAGGTCAGTGACCTCAGATGACCTCGGATGACCACGGATGACCTTGACACATGGCGGGTCAACTATAGTGTATTCATAGGCGCTGAGCTCGAATCTGACATCCATTCACCTCTAAGCAATCATCCTGACGCTCAAACTCGCAAAAAAAACAGCTAATTGAAGCGACTAAATTGACCTAGAAGATGCTCCTAACAAGCGTGACCTTGCGTGACCTTGACCTTGAGTCAACTGTATGCGATGTCTAGACATCCATAAACACCAATAAACTCTCATAGAATGCATACTCATGCGCTGGGAAGCAAGAACGCGCACCATCGTGCGACAGATCGCAAAACCTGCCGATTTCGTCCAAACATGACCTGACATATGACGTCATGACTTGATGACCTGACATGACATCGACTTGAAATTTCCACAGTACGTGTCAGATTGATCAACGCGAGGGTACTGTAAGTTTCGCGGCGATCCGCCGCGTTTTACGCGAGTTATTCGCGAAAAACCATGGG